TCTTTGTTCAAGTTGCAAATGTTTTTGCAAATGTTTTTTATTTCAAAACTTATTGTAAAAAATTGAAATGTTGAAATAACAAGTAGAAAGAAGAAATCAGAATTATTAATACTATTCATTTTGGAAAAAAAATTTTAATAAAATAAAAACCTCTTGGATTTCCCCTTCCCGATTTTAAACACTAACTTGGATTGCAAATAATGTTGTAGGAAATGAAATTTACGTCCCGATCCGGCTTATTTTTTCTTAGCTAAAATTAAGAAAAACATAATCATTTTATTCTTATAAATTTATTTCAGTTAATTAAATAAAAATCTAAAAGGCCAACTCATTTGCTAAAATATTTAAATAAATATACGAACGTATCCTTACGCACAATGACAGAGATATAAATATAAAATAAACACATGAACAAGAGTGTTTGTTATGCTTTGATAGTAAGAATATATATATTTTAGCGCAACATTAGTTAAGATGCCTATATTTTATCGGACGACGATGTGGATAATGCCTTAATAGGCTTTTTTTTGTGTGTGTTATTGTATTTATGCAGTGGGAAATCTTTAATTAAAAATTTACGTATTCTCTCACCATGTAGGATGTAATAGGAAAATTTAAAACTGTATAGAAAAATTTAAATTCATACCTGTACAGAAATTGTTTAGATCAAAATTATTGATAACTAAATTTAATTGTGTGGAAGTATCATAAAGTCAATTAGATGTAAACGGATTTGCAGTTTGTCAATTCGTACGTAAAACCCACCTCTAAAAGTTGTAGTTTCTAAAAATGATAAAGAAGTCATGTTTTGATAATTTATTTAGTAGAGGAACCATAAGCACTTATTGAATTTATTACATTAATACAAAAGAAAAATAATTTATTTCTTTAACTCTGAAACATCAGATTCAAACATAACAATTTTTTCTTAATACTAACACCTGTATCGAAAGACAGCGTAGGCGGACCCGAACTGTCATCAGACATATCAATAGTGGAGGACTTTAACCCAATCTAGCGCACCTGGATGATCATAAAAGCCCACAATATTATATCGCGCGAAGGAGTTTGTTTTGGAAAGCTTTTATTTGCTTGATATGTGTTTGCTCGGCACATCCCCATAGCCGAAGCCATAATTCCATATAAGCTTTATCATTTGGTTATAATATATCAACAGCTTATTGTATGTTGACAATCCAAACCTGCAACCTAGAAGCCAACAGTTTTGTCTATATTTGTTTTCTAGTTCTATTCTTTTCTTCTTTGCATATTCTTTTCATCTAAACTTGACATCCAAAGTCATACCTAGGTATTTCGCTGTGTTTTGGCTTGACACTTTAGTATCATTCAAACGCAATTGCGGTGGATTTACAATTTGTGAAATTTACATAATCCATTTACTTATATTGTTACTTGCTTCCTGCAATTTTTTCGCCGACTCTTTAACAATAGATCTCACTGTCAATATTGCTGTGTCGTCGGCAAATCTAGTGAAAACTATACTCTCTAAATCTAGTAAATCGCTTGTGTAAAGCACGTATAAAATAGGACCCAAAATACTGTCTTGAGGCACACCAGTTCCAATTTCCCTAAGCGTAGAGAACTCCTTGTTATGTTCCCTGGACGAAGAGTACTCCTCGTTCTGTTTGATTCGGAAAAAGCTTTCAGATAAATATTATTGAAGTAACTCCAAGAACAACAGAAGTATCAACTTCTTAAGTTTAAATAATAGCACAAAAATCAATCTATTTTTTCTAATCTCTGACATTTTTTTCAAATATGCCAGAACCTTTCTCGGCAATCCTCTTAATATCTCAAAAGTAATGAGATCAAAACCTGGGGTCTTATTCGGTTTAAGCGACTTTATCACTTGGCAAATTTCTTTTTCATTAAACAAAACCATAGTGGTTTCGTACATATCAAAATCTACTACTAAACAAATAATAGAATTCATTTCATTTTGTTGGAAAATTCCTTCCAAGTGATCAGCAAATAGTTGAGCTTTATCCCTGTTTTAATGGTTCAGCTATTTTTCTTTTGAATGTTTGAGAAAGTCTGTTCAGAATCATTAAACCGTCTGGGTGACGCGACACTTGCCATTTACGTCTAGCCCTTCTTTTTCGTACTATTAAATCAGTTATATTATTAAGATAATTACTTGATACAGGTTTGAATCCAGAGAATCTTCTATTTTTTCAGACCGCTTTCTATGTCAATTTCATCAAATTTAGAATTTAGTTGATCTTTAGTCTGCAGGTTAAGGTTTATATTTCTAATAACATCAACTTTGAAGTCTACCCAATATGTGGTTTTGCTGATTAAAGTGGAGCGTTTGTTAGCTATTTTCTCACTAAGGATTAATATGACAGCAGATTGCTCGGAATTCAAATTAAAATCATCTTCAAGTTCAAAAAATTTGCTGAAATCCTTTTAGATATAGAAAAATAAAAAAAATCCGGGACGTTGTTAGCATTATCAGGCCAATAAATCGGACTGCCAGTAAAACAGCAGGAACATCCCAACTTCCAAATGTTTTCTTTCTTTGGTTTTTTTATCTCTAGTTGAGGTCAAGCTGGAGTACCAGCCCACATTTTTGGCATTCTCCAAGTGAGAATCTATTTTTAATTAAAATAGTACTTGAATCTCCTCTTGAATGGTTACCAGAGTGAGTTGCCCAATAACGTCTATAATCAAGTATGTATATCCAAATCCTTTCCCAAGTGTGTTTCAGACAACAGAGATGCGTCGATATTTTTAGCTCTAGGAAAAACCTCCAATTTGTGTAGTTTCTCTCATTGAATACACGTCAATTCTTTATTAATTTCTTTAGGTTTTTGCATTGTATTATTGTCAACATTTTTATTTTTCATGCCTTTCTTAGGTCTTTTATCTATATATATTTCTGCCGTTTTGGAAGCCACTTGCGAGCATGTAACACAATTAATTTTTCACCTTATTTGATGAAAAAGCTTTAATCGTGCTTGGAGACCTCTTGGTTTTCCTTCCAACTTACCACATAGGAGGAGACTTTGCAACTATAAGCCCTTGTTGACCATTTTTTCTATCGTCGAAGCTAGAATCAATCTTGCCTCAATTTTCGACATGCCATTTCTCTGAAGTTTTAACCTTCACCAATTTTCAGTATAATAATTAACTATTTTATGCACAGTATAATTTCATCCATTTGTTCACTGAACGAAAAAGGTACGTGAAATTAATAAAAAATTGCATTGTGACAATGAAAAAGTTCGTTAATTTTGCTCCAATTAACGCGTTTATTGCGTCAATGTAAAAAGTTCATAAATCAATGTACAAGTTCATTGATTAATAAACAGTACATTGGCCCAATGTACGTTTGTTCGTAAATTTTTTAACGAACTTGTTCATTGTGACAACGAATGGTATTTATTGATCCAATGATTTATATTTATTATTGTAATGTATGCCGTTCATTGGTCCAATAATTTGCATTCATTAGAACACTAAACGATGGTCATTATCTCAATGTACGAAATTCATTGTAACAACTAAATTGTTCGTTGGCGCAACCAAATCTTGTTCATAGGCACAATGTAAAACATTCTTTGTAACAATCAAATCGATCATTGTTTCAGACAAAAATTAATCATTGGCTCAATGTACGGAATTAATTGACTCAATGAACTGAGTTTATCGGATTAATGTAGGGAATTGATTGACTTAATATAAGAAGTTGGTTAGCTCAATGTAACTAATTTATTTTCGCAATATATAGCATTAATTGAGTCAATGTACGAGATTGATTAACTCAAAGTGGGGCGTTTATTGACTCAATGCATTGAGTTTATTGTTACTATTAAACCGTTCATTGCTTTAGTAAAATATTGTTTACTGTCCAATGTCCGGTTTTTCGTGTAACAATGAAATTGAAATGTATACTAGTTCATTTTTTCACTCTTTTTTTTTACAAAAAATTATATAAATAAATTGTTTGTTTCACATTTTTTAATTTAAAAAATTTTATTTTTACACAAACTATTAATTATTTACATTCAATTCATTTAATGAAATTATATTTTTTTACACTGTACATCTTTTAGAAATTTTTTAGAAAATTAGAAATTAAGGTCTTAAATAAATTTTAAATTTTTTATGTAATATTTTAGTTCATTTGGTGTTTTATTTTGGAATTTTATTATTACATATTTAAATATTCTGCTAATATACATACTTTTGAAAATGAACGTTCTGATTTTAGCTTAAAAAAAAATTTTTCTAAAAAGCTATAAAACATGACTGACGCTGCAGGGAAATCTAAATTAAATACATACATTATTTTGAAGCATATGTCTACAGCTCTTAAAAAATTGAAGAATTTGTATCTGATGTCGTCAAAATAAATGTAAATTTCTTCTATAGAAAAAATTTCTTTTCCAATGCAGTATATGAAAGGTTGAATGTTTTTCTTTGTTTCCTTCAAATTCTTAATGTGTTCCTCTATTTGCTGAATAGATTTGGCTATAAACAAAAACGATTCCTGCGAATCTTTGATTGTAAATTTCATTACAACTTTTTTTTCCGATTCTGATTTAACAACTTTGTTGATTGGTACGAAATACCCATGCAAACTCCACATCAAAATAGCATCACGGGAATCTAGAAAGAATTAAAATTTGATTTTAAATTCATGTGTTATGTACCCAATCACTAATATAGTAGATTAAAACTTAGATTAATTTTTTTTTGTGATTCTAGAAAAAAAAATTAAAATCAATTACAATTAATTTTAGTCTTTAATATAAAGCAACAATTTCAATTTTATTCTAAAATCCCAAATGGCAAAGGAAACTAAGTTTTAATTTCATTTTGAAATTAAAACGAAGTTATGAAAGTTTAAAATTTAAAATTTGTTAAATTGGTATTTCAAATATTTAGTTCAAATTATTTTTAAAGAATTCTATTTAAAATTTACACATGTACATAAACTAGTCTTACTTTCAGAAACCGTTTCATTAATCCTTTCCAGCGCAGTTTTGACACTTTTGTCTTTAACGTTTTGATTTTGCCTTAAAAAAAGTAAAATTTTATCTGAGCATCGCCCCCAATTATCAAATAAACCATTGGCGTTTTGAAAAGCTATACTAAAATCTATATCAATCTAAAAGGAAAAAGAATTATGTAAAAGATTTAATTAGAAACTTATATTACCAATCGAAATCCAGTTGGGAATTTATAGAATGGCCACTTTTCCATTATTTCGGAAGTATTTTGAAAATTTTTGATATCATTCAATCTGTATTGGCTACATGCTTTCCACACATTGTCAAAATGATCCGCTTCTAAATTGTCATATTTCAACGCCCGCAAGCACCCTTCAGCATCATGTTCTGATTCTGTTAAATTTATATATTTTTTTGATTTTGCATTACATTTAAATTAAAAAATTTATAGAACTACTTAACTTAAAATACAATTTTTTTATAATACATAACTTTGACTTACCAAAAAATTTTTCTTCACGATAATTTTTAGAAGAAACTTTTTTTAGAGTTTTTTCATTCGTATTTTGGCAAAGAATATTTTTCAGTGACATTTTGAGATTGCAACATTTGTTATAAATTTTACCGCGTTTACTAGTTCGATAATATTCCTTAAATACAAAAAACAATACATTGTGTTAATTACTCAATGTGCTTTAGTATTAAAAACTAAATACCAATTTTTCATTAGTAAACCTCTCCAAAATTTCGTTTTCCAACTTATAACTCACTGCTAGGGTCATTGCAACTCCTTTCTCTTCAAAATGTTGAGCTATCAAATTCACTAATATCGTTCTTTGTTCAGCTTCAAATTTTGAATATTTGTTATAGTACCCAACTAACATTTCCCCTTTCGCGTTTTCGTTTAGTATGTTATTCAAAGTAATTTCGCAGTCATCAGATTGATGAAAGAAATACGGTGAAAAACGGTTTTCTCGTGATGGAGTCGGCGATCTAGAAACAAGCGATGATGATGGTGATATTGGAATATTAGACGGTACTAAATGGTTGCATTCATCATAAACCAATGGGATTCCTATTAGTTTTCTCCATTCGAATAAATTGTGTTCAAATAAAATTTGAGTTCCTAAATCATAATTCCTTAAAATACGTTCTATATGATGTGGCCTTAGAACCTTAAGGACTCCAGTAAATATTTTTTGATCTGAAACATAAAGACATTTCTAAAAAATTAAATTCGAAATTAAAATAAATTTATCGTTAATTAACTGACAATACTAAACCAAATTTTAACTTAGATGTACTTTTTAAACCTTTTCAAATTCTGGATAGTTAATCAAATATGTACAAAAATTAAATTTACTTATCAAATCATTAACCAGAAACTCTTGTTTCCAATCAGTTAAAAGCCTCATCAACTCTTGTTTTTCCTGATCTTTTTCATGGTCTTCTTCTACTTGATTTAGAGATTTCGAGTAAGATATATCCTGCAAATCTGCATTTTCAGTGTTGTCTTCTTGAAAGTCATTTTCTTCAGGTATCATATACATTATATTTCTCTAAAATCTTCCAATATCTGGAATTTTTTTCAATTATATACTGCAAATTTTGTAAATAACCACCACATTTTAAATATTTGTAAGCCATCATTCTAATAAAATTTATTTAGTAGAATTTGGTAACACGTTCTAATGATATGTACATATATAACTATATATATAAGTATAAAAGTATAAATGCATAAATATGAGTAAATTTATATACATACATACATATATATATATTTATATATACACATATTTGAATATATTTAATATTTCTGATATTAATAAAATTTACAAAATATTAACTAATTCCAGTCGGTTTGAAATTTTTGATTAATTATTTTTTTCAACACTTTTACCTTAAAACACTTAATTTTACAATGATAATGATTTTTTAACACTTATTAGCTTTTTTGAAGCTACCACCGCACAAGACGAAACAAGACTAATAATAGTTCATAGCAATCCGTATGTATTGATCATATACATAAACGAATTGAAAAAAAAAGTTTTAACAGTTATAAATCAGCGCGTCTTAAATTTGTTGTTTTATATTTTCGGCTTTTTAATCAACTGTTCATTGTCCCAATGAACGTTCATTGTGTCAATGAATATTATGCATTGATAAGTTTGATTTTCTCTCTTCACTTTTTAACCCTTTGGTGCTTGAAATTTTTTTTGTCAAAAAAAAGGTTTTGTGTTTTTTATATGCGAAAATTGAAAAAAATTACAAATTTTATTTTGAAAAATTATCAAAAGTGTTTTTGCAATTGCCAAAATGAAGTATACTAAGATTTTAGCTGAAAATTTCTATTAAAAATTTAAGTAACAATTTTGTTGATTAAGATGATACAAAAAAAATAGTTTACTAAAAATATTAAACGATTTCGATAAAAAAAATCTTAATATTACATAAACGTATTAATATTACATAAATCTTAATATCACATATATTAATCAAAGATATGGCCAATTTCACATTATATAAAATTTCAAAAATTATCTGGAAACAAAAATTTTACAATAATAGTAACACGCTGTCTAACTTGGGGTTAAATATTCGCAACAGGAATTTGATAGAACAAGAATAATAAAAAATATAAAAAGAAATTGCAAAAATGAAAAAAGAATAAAACTTACCATCAGCCACTTTCAACATTTTTCAGGCGATAGCTTATGTTATTCATCTTTATGTGACTTTTTCTGAATTAATTTTAAATTTCTTAATTAAAAAAATAAATCCTTAAGTTTTAAAGCGAATTTTTTTTTGTGAATAATTGAGTAGTTTATTATTACCAATATGATTTTTATTCTCATGCTTTTTGTTAATTTAGTTAATACACAATAAGGAACATAAGTAATAAAAATCTAAAATTTATTAATATAAACATATTTTACTAAATTTTAAAATTTTACTTAGTTCCTGTAAAACTGAAAATAATTATGTATGTATATTAATTGCAATTACTTTCACAACTAAACAAACTTTTTTATGCTAATGTCAAATTTGTAGTTTTTGCAGGTGCGTCTTTTAGTTGCCTATGTTATTTAAGTTCTTAGTTACAAATGCGAAAGCATATTGCATTATCAAAAAATTGTACCTTCTTGCGCCAATCATTCTAAATAGAATTGCATTCTAAAAGCTTCTAGATGGACACTATTTTGTACTATCTTTTTCATCTGAAAACTCTCATAATAATAAACCCTAATAATACATAATGTGTATCTTCAAAAAAGTAAAATGGCTTTTTTAATTAATAGTTATATATGTATGTGTATATATAAGTTATTTTTAAGGCAATTTTCAAATGACACTTTTTTTATAATATGTCATAATTCCATACCTGCTTATTATAAAAATCTATCCAGAAAAACACAATATGTATACATTTCTTTTTATATAAGAAATCGCATCACGCAAGTACCATACGTCTAAATTCTGAATATTACAAAATTTAAAAAAAAAAAAACATTAATTGTTTTTTATTCATTTTAACATTTTATAATTTAACAATGACAAATCTAGAACAGAAAATTGAAGCACATGCATGCTACTTTTTACACCTTTTATGTAATTAGTAATTGCAAGCGAGAATATTTATTCACAAAACTGCGAGAATCTAGACAAGTCGAAATATTTGAGAATGTATTCATCTATTATCTCGTTTATATGGAAGCTTGAGTACTTGACTTGAAGACATAACGAAACTCGAGCTGAGCTATATAAGAAGAATGAAAGCCTTTAATTTCTCGCTTATAAGCAACATTGGGGCAATAATTCACAAAATGGCAAATTTCGTGGAATTTCGCAAATTTGAATATTTTTCCCTGCTGGTTGTGAGATTATTTAAATGAAAATGACAAATCGACCAATGTCATAGTAAAATTTTTGAAATTTTGTAAAGCTTTTTGACAAAAAATTTGTGAATAAAGCATTTAAGGGTAATTGAATACATTAGCCCTGTTTTTAAGGAAATATGTATGTTTGCGTGTGTGCAATAGTCGAATACTAAATAATTATATTTTACACTTTGTGACATACTTATCTACATCATGAAAGTGGCGTGATCAAATTATATATACATATAAGCGAGTGCGTACATAGTATGTATGCATATAAACACGCTTATACATACATGTACGCACTTCTAGTAATATGCGGAATTATGAATACACAAACTTAAATTATGTACATACATACATATTACATAGTTATATAATATATAGAACTTCTTTATTTGTTTTGTAAAAATATTTTTTTTTTTTATTTTGCCAAAAGAATTTCTTTTTTAGTTTTATAAAAATAATGTTTTTGTTTTTTTTAAATTTTGTTTTATGAATATGATCTTATAACTGTGGTTCAGAATAGGTAGGTAGTTATATGTTTATATGCATTGATATAATTTAAATGTAGGTACAAATTTATAATAGGTTTACATATTCAGATATACATCCATACACACATTTTTTATTAAAAATTGAAGTTAGAATTGAATTTAAACTAGAAAAAATTATGTTAAAATAATTTCTGGGTATACACATGAGCCTGTGCATTTAGTTATGGATGTACATATATGCACTTGCATTTGCATGCTTGATTTTGTATGCTTAAAGCATATTTATACATACATACATACATACATTGTATGTATGTGTGAATTTTTGAATAAATTTGGTTTAAGAAGCTTAATGTTTTTCAAATGTATGTTTGTGTGTATTTTCAAACTCGTATATACAAATCCACGTGCTATTACAATTATGAATGTACATCTGTATGTATATTTACATGCTAAGAATAGGTATTATAGATTAAAGTACTATCTATTGATAAAAGTATTGTACTATCTCATCTTGGTCTTCTATACCTTCTGTAAGTAATAAACCATTCATTAAATCAAGAAAAAACGTTCCTTAAATCAACAAAAAAGCGTTCATTGCGTCAATAAATGGCGTTTATTGGTCAATGATTTTATACATTGGTACTACGAATGTAGGTTATTAAAATTTTTCGCCGAAAACTTCGTAAATACAATAAATATGTTTATTGCGCCAATGAAAAAGTTCATTGTTGACATGAAAAATCTGTTTATTGTGACAATGTATTTGAGTTCATTGGGAAAATTAATTCGATGATCAATCAATGAACGGTTGTTCGTTGTCGCAAGGAAAAAATTCATTGTTCCAATGAAAAATTAGTTAATGAATGGCGTTCATTGATATTACGAACTAAAATTTTTTCAGTGTTACGTCTTCTAAATATTGTTCTGATCCTACAAGTAAGGAGTAATTATGTCAAATTAATATGACCTGGCCAATGGTGGAATGGTCATTGCACTGGTCCTTTAACAGAAGGGTCTCGGGTTCAAAGCCCAGTCAGGTCATTATAAAAATCATATTCAATATTATATAATTGCCATATTTCAATAATATCCAATATTAATAAAAAATTCCAGCGAAATAAAATAGTAAGTATTAATAACCTTAAATATTTAGTTTAAACTACGGTAGGCTCGTCACCTACCTAGTAAAGTCAATCACATAAGAAACTGGTTCATGGTTATCTTCAATATTGTGCACCAGCCCTATGCTCCTCCCAATAGCGAAGTAGAAATAAAAAAAAATGACATGAAAAGTGCAAAGTTTTTACATATATATCATACATATATGTATACGGATATATATATAAGATTGCACTTGGAAAATCATAGGTTTGGACCAAACTTTTTAATAAGTGATTTCAAATATCTCGCCTTTCTCTTATTTGATCTTTAAAAATTTCGAACGGCTTACAGAATTTTGACATTTTGATCATGCTCGTTGAATAAATTAATTGAGTTCCCTCAACATGAAATTAAAATGTGGTTGCTTCAATATAACGCTAACAAAATTTTTCAATATCCATTTTTTTTTAATTTGGTATTAAACACATAAATTAACAAGTAAAAACGTTTCAGTCGGTATAAACCGACCGAAATATACCCTGCACTTTAACAATCTGAGTTTAAAAATTTTTTTTTGAATTTTCTTGATTTAGCTTTCATTGTTGTAAGTACTCGAACCTGTCAAGCCACTCTATAGAAACTGCACGGGTATGTCTGATCTATAATTTGACACACAACTGCCAAGTTTCATAAATCTAACTTTATTATTTTTTGAAGATTTAAAATTTGTTTCTGGTGTTGTATGGTATCTACCCAAACCTGTCAACCCATTCCTTTAAAACTTCAGGGATATATCGGACCTGTAGTTAGACACACGCCTGTCAAGTTTAAATCTAGCTTTATTATTTTTACAAATAATTAAAATTTCCATTGAAGTTGTATGGCAGCTACCCGAACCTGTCAAGTCATTTCAACATAACTTCAAAGATATATGTGGCATACAATGGGACACAAGACTGTCAAGTTTCATGAATCTGGATTAATTACTTTTCTGAATATATAGAATTCGCATGTGGAGTTGTATGGCAACTACCCGAACCAGTGCAGCCATTTAAATAAAATTCTAAGAACATATGTATGTAAAATGACACAGTATTATTGGACACATCTTTGAAAAACTTGATACTAATATACTCTTCTTCAGTTTTTAAAATATTAAAAAAAAAACTTTGAGTTGTATGGCAGCTACCCGAACCTGTTGTCCGAATTTATCCAATTACAATAGCAACCGTCGTTGGCAGAAAAGAATCAAATTGTAAAACTTTGGTGTCGATTGCATTATTCGTGCGATTGGACGAACGAACGGACGGGCATGTCTAAATCATCGCAGAATTTTACGTGTTATACTATACATGTAATATTATAAACTCCATACCAAAACGACAATAGCCTTCATGAAAGTATAAAAACCTTTTCTTAATAACATTGCATGTATTTATATCCGACTATAAAATATTTTTAAAAATTAACTATTTCGTACTAAGTTTTTATATCACATTTTGAGTTTGAACAAAATAAAAGTTTTCTATAAAAAAAAAAAATATGATGTGGTCAGCACATAACCGACCGCAACGTGTATTGTCTAGTTAAGTGAAAGTGTTGCAGAATATTATAAAAATGTCTGTTAAATACTTCTTTCCAATATTTAGGACATTAGTAAACTTATAGTTAACATACCTAGAAAAATGTAAATTTGGCTCTTAGTAGAAAATTGCTTTCTGCTAACCGAATTCCCTGAAATGCTCGCCAGTTAATTTCGGTAACAACCAGAACTCAAATATCAAATTTCAAGAAATTCCATAAATTCGTTCCGTAGATATGGTGAAAAATGTAAAATCGGCCCGCAAATCAGTTTTCGAGCCTGATCTTTCCCAAAAATTTATATGTTCATTGTTTTAATACGAGGAATTCAAATACTAAATTTCAATGAAATCGGTTGATTATTTTTCTTTATATAGGCAAAAATGTACATTTGGCCCGTAGTAAACGTCCAGTTGTTGATGCCTGATTTCTTCCAAAAGTTAGAAATTTTCGTGTACGGTCGAGCAAAGCTTATATATGAAATTTCAAGTAAATCGATTGAATATTTTCTTCAAAATGTTCAAAAATGTAAAACATGCTCGCTAAAAAGTGCAGTTCCCGAGGCCTGATATATCTCAAAAGTTGATCAATCCGTGCCATGGTGGAAATAAACTTACATATAAAATTTCATCAAAATCGGTTCAGCCGAACTTGAGATACACGCGTGCACACGCAGACCGACAGATTGCTAAAAATAGTTTACTTACACTTCCCTATTATGGAGAAGTGCATTTCCACCGAAAACTCGATATGCAAAATTTGTTGCCATCACATAACCTACCTATTGTATACACAATACGGTCGGTAAAAATCATATATGTACGAGTATGAACCATAAAAAGTGCGTAAAATATTTTACTCCGAAATGATAAAATCCAATATAAATTTTTGAACATAGTAGCTATACTCGTATATTTTAACAATGAAATTTACATTAAAAACAAAAATACTATTCTTCTTTCTCCATGGGGCGATTAAGTAGTGTGACTTTGAAAGTTGTATAGTACCGTCATGATAATTTAAAAGATTTATTTTAGTCTCATTACAATTTTGGTTAATTCAAATAAGGATGTAAATATATTTACGCATTATGTATATATGTATGTATTTTAATTAATTCTAAAATTATGTATACAAAATGAAAATATGTATGTAATGTTCACATAAACAAATATGTAACCACTCTTACACACATAATATGTATTTACATATATATTTATTTTTATTCTAATATCCCAAGTTACGGGGAATTGAAAACTTCATAAAAAGCTTTTAGTTTTTGTTGTTAATTTTAGAAATAATAGGGGTTTTCTTTTACTTTTTTTAAGGAGAATAAGAAAGGTTGAAAATAGAATGAAAAAAAGAAAAAAACACATTTTTAATTACATTAATATTGTATACGTACATACAAATCTGTAATTAAATTTTTAAGATTAAATAAACTTTAATTAAACCAAGACGTTTCATTGGATTCAAATTCTTAAAGTAAATGTAATTATGTATTCAGTTTTAAACAAAATTGTACATATATGGTAATACCACCCATTATAAGTTATAATGCTTTAAATTTAAAAAAAAAATCCGAATTTCAAATTATTTGTAAAAGTAAATCGAATTCCCAGATCACCAGTATTCCACAAAATACTGGTGATACAAATATCCTGTACAATATAATGAGCTGCTAATAATTTATATATAATACGTAAGAACTAAAGGCATTTTTCAAAATTTATAATGTATTTGTTAGAATATAATCTTCTTCGATTTCGCAGGTTTTTTCGATTAATCGAAAAGGCATAAGCATTACTACGTATGAATCCACAGGATCTTTGACACCTTTGATACGAATGTTTTAAGATTTGAAAACATGAGTGATAGATAAATTTATGTTTTTCGACATTTATTTGTACATAAATATGTACAATTTGTTACATATTTAAAAAAAAAAACACAGGTTACCAAACTTCAATTTTTAATAATGAAAACAAGAACTTGGCGTGCAAAAATTTTCGATTTACAAATAATTGACTTACGAAACATTTCATTTGGGGGTTCAAACAATCAGGTATAATACTATTATTTTCAAGATATTTCAGAATAACTTTTGAAGAATAACTTTTGAACTTTGAATTGCATACTCTTGCGATGAAATAAAATTATTTTCTTATTATTCTTTTATATTCTCTATTTCCGTGAACCACTTTCTAGTTCCATTTTTTACTAAAAAATTTCAAAACAGATTTGAACTAAAAATAAAATAAATTTTTTTTTTAAGGTATTATAAGTACTACAGCCCGAAAATTGGATCGTGAAAACCAACTGGAACATATCTTGGAGGTAAATAAATAATATTTCCTAATTTCAAATTATTCTATATATTAAACTGAACTAAAGAAAAAACTTTATTGCAAAACTTGTTGCTTAAGTTTACAGTTTGAAATAAATCTTAAGTTTAAAAACTTAAAGTCATTTTTAAAAAATTTATAGCTTTCTAGCTAAAATGATTCCAGGCTTTAGAATAATATTTTTATTAAACTGACTTTTTAATACTTTAACAGTTTTATCGGGTTTGATTTGCAAATTTTAAATTTAACCACATTTTCGAAATTCATCTTTTTTCTAAAAATAATTCCGTATAAAATATTTGAAGACCCATTTTTCTTAACCTTAATTTGATCTACCTCACGTTGTCCAATATGGAATTATATTTTTGATTACGAAAATTTGTAATCCATAGTTTATGATAAGTCAGCTCTAGCAATTTGTTAAAATGAAGCAAATGTTTTTGTAAAATTTAATGTAAAATGTTTAGAGTCAAAGATTTAAAAGTGTATGTGATATACTTTCCATATTTAATTATAAAATGTATTAGTATTATCCTATTATAAAATTTACTAAAAAATAAATTTAATACGAATAGGTTTCGGTATCGGATAATGGTCGACCACAACTTTCATCAACAACACGAGTTGTTATTTCAGTCGATGATGTTAATGATCAAAGTCCAGAATTCGATCAACGTTTTTATAAAGTTCAAATACCAGCTACAGCTAAAATAGATCAACCATTATTTCAGGTATGTGTTTAACGTTTTTAAATTTTATTTTTAATAATATTTCCTTTATACCTAAAAGTAACCTTTGACTATTGAACTTTAAATATATTAATTTTTTGTACTGAAAAAAAAAACAAATTTTTAAAATTTTTAAATTGATTAATTAAAATACAAATTTTCTTTTCTATTAAAAAATATTTATGAATATAGTTTATTTTTTCTTTTATAAATTTCAATAATGGTTTCCTTTACTTAAAATAAAATCAAATTGCACACAATAATGGGTGACATATGATGTTTTTACTTTATCTAAGATTTAAAAGAATATCAAATTTAATAAATAAAGTTGAGGAAATTTGTTTTTCTTTGATGGTATAGTAAAAATATATACGGAAGACTTCTTTCTTTATCGTTATGTAGTAAAATTAAATTGTATATTTTTGTTATAAACTATTAAATTTTAGGCTAAAATTTGTTCCAAAATTAAATAACATATTTTAATTGTAAAATAATTTTCTTACATTTTACTTTTTAAATATAAAATAAAATAGAATTTTAAATGTTTTCTTTTAAAAAACTCATTTAATTTTCAAATATTTTAATTTTCGTCTTCTCTTCAGAAATAAATGACACAAAAAAAACTTTTTTTAATTTATCACAGAATCGTTTATATTTTCAGAAATTTAAGATACAAAATTTAAATAACTAGTAAATCCATATGTCTTTATGTGTATCTTACCTCTATAAAATTTAAATTTTATATCAGTAAAAATATTTTATTAATTTTTTATTTAATCTTTTGGTTTTTCTTTCAATAATAATATAAATGGAACTATTTTATGAGATACGCATTTAAATGAATATTATTAAAATATTTTTGACTATAATTTTGAATATAAGTAAATAATTTCATATTCAACAGAAATTTTGCACATCTTTACTTAATGTCTATGAATTGTATTACGAGTATAAATTTGTTGTAGTACATTCTATGAGAGAAATTATATTAATAAAATTAATCCTAATATTCTGTTTATATTGCACATGATATTGTTATCATTATTATCATTATCATTATTATTATTATTATTATTATTATTATTATTATTATTATTATTATTATTATTATTATTATTATTATTATTATTATTATTATTATTATTATTATTATTATTATTATTATTATTATTGTACACGTAACTATGTTATATGCATATATAATTGTATGTACATATATTTTATGTTTTAAGATGTTAGACACATTCATTTTTATTATTAACCTTTACCTTGTTTCTCAGAACAATAAATTATGTATAAACAAATACATACATATATTACAGATTATGTTAATTTTTATATATTGCAAAACATAATAATTTTAGCATTTTTCCTTGAAAAATTTCGTTATACAATTGCCTAATAATATTATTGATTATCACTAATGCAATACCTATAATATTTTTCTTCAGTTTGCTTTCGGTGTAGCAAGAAACCAAAATTTTAATTATATGTAATTAAATTTCATGATTTTTTAAAAACATTTTTACATAAAAAATACTTTTGTAAAAGCTTCAATTTTATCTAAATAGTCCAAGAACGATTTCTTCAGGAATAATTATGACTTTCTAAACTATAAATAAATATGCAATTTCATCTAATGATAAATAGAAATAGTAATATAAATTCAAAAATTTAATAAGATATAGATAAAAATTTAAGTGTCGGAAAATTAAAAAGATTATGATTTTGCAAAAGTATTAGAAATCATGTTAATGCGATTAAATTTAAATGATCTTTAGTATATTGTTAAGGTAAAGAAAAAACATATTCAGTTGATCAGTTTATGTGCCAAAATAATAGAAAATTTCAAAAACAATTAAAAAAAAATTTAAAAAGCTGAAAGCATAATTTATTGTATTAAACTTGTTATATGTATATGCATACGTTTGTTTCGGTTTAAAACTTTTTAAGTTTGGCAACAAAGTATCTGCATATACATCTTATATTATATTGTAAAATATTTAAATTAGATTACGCTAAATTATGTATTTATAGAAGCTCAATAAGTAGGGTGCACTTAATATAATTTAAAATTTTACTCTTGACTCTTCTTTCTGTTTTGACAGAATTTTTTATTTATAATATTGCTAGGGTTATGTATTACATGCATTGTTCTTCCATCTAATTCTAAATATTCTGTAAATAATAATGCTAATAAAATAATTTATATAATATATGTATGTATATAATATATGTAACGACAATATCCATGATAAATTATTGGATGCAATATATTATTAAATTACGATACCATAAAGAACACTTTATGCAAAAAAAATATAAAAATTGAAAAAATAAAACAGAATTCAGGTTGGAAAAAATTATTAAATTATTTAATTTAATCTCAAAAATATTATGCTTAAGGAATTAGAAACATTTTTTATACAATATATAAATTTATATACACACATATTATTTATACACCAATAAGGAACGGAAAGGTATAAATATTCAGCTTTTAGTGTACACACTCATACATAAATAAATGCAGTTAGGTTTAATATCAAATACTACACATAATACAATGTTGATTTTATATAATGTTTTAATTTTATTTGCATAGATGCTTTAACAAATTTGTTTTATTAGAACAATGAGAATATTAACATAAAAAGAAATAAGAAAAGAAAAATGAACTTTTCTTGCTCTAATTATTAAAAATATATTATGGAATTTTTATACATAATATGTGTATGTAGTTTTTATTGAAATTTAAAAACAACCGTTCCACAAGACTCGTTTTAAAATTTATATTTGACTAAATAATATAATACAAGACTTGTGTCATAAGATACATATACTACAATAATACTATATTGCATATTATTATGTGTAATATAAAAAAAGCTAAAATTTTATATTTAATTTGCGTTATAAAATTTAACAATTATAAGATAAAATGGCTGTGATGTGAATATTTGCCTCAAACACATATATAAATCGCTTAATTTATTAATAATATTAATACTTTTAATATTGATATAATCACCACAGCAGCTTAATTTATTAATAATATTAATACTTTTAATATTGATATAATCACCAAAAGAATTTCACAAAACATTCAAGATTAATTAATAAATATTGTAGTACATAAAAATACTTACGATGTTTTTTAAATATCTATCTTAAATTATTCAAGAATTTTGATTTTACTTAAAATTAAAATTTTTCGTAAATATACAAAATTTTCGTAACTATACATATAGGTAAAAATATTATAAGATTTTTTTTATTTAGTATTTAATTCGCAAACAATTTAAAAATGTCTAACGGAAATCCAAACTAGAATTTCGAGAAAATTAAATTGAACGTATATTTGAAGTTTTAATTTTACAACTACGTAAAATTATTATTTTTTTTTGTTATATACACACATAATATGTTCGATTCCAGATTTTTGCAGGGGAATAGATTTTTTTTTAAAGATACATAATATTTCGATTCTGTTTTGAAATGCAAATTTAAACTTATTTATCAAAAACACGCATAAATTGCTAAGGCTCTAATGATAAATTTTGTAGGCCGAATTAGTTAATAATATTTGAAAAGGTTGAAGTTGTGAAATATTTTTCAAATAATTTTTTAAAATTACAAAAAAATTTAATAAATTATCCAATATTATTTATAAAGTGTATTCATGGATTTCCAAATGAAACATCGAAATCACAATCATGTTTCAAAATATTTTGTTTCGATTTTCTCTGTTGTTGTTGTTTTTTCAGTTGCTTCGTTTATAATATATTTTCTTCTTTGTTTCGATTTTCTTCCTTTATTTTTTAACATGGTTTTGATTCTTATTGCTTTTGTTTTGTTTATTCCTTTTACATTCATGTTCTTATAATCAAATATTTATTCATATTGAACATACACACTTATATTTAAATAAAAACATATTACATACATACTTTAGGTTGATGGTTCACAAGAAAATATTTATAAATAAAAGATCACGAAATGGCGTCTTAAACCTCTATAAATTTTTCAGTTCTACATAATAATGTTAACTTTCATTTTTAGCACTTTTACAAAAAAATTTTGAAAAAAGATGCTTATTAGTTTCACTCCGCCCGTCCGTCCGTCCGTCTGTCCGTGTGACTGTTTACAAAACTTCTACACCCTTAATGATAGAAACCTGAAATTTTATATGTACATAGATCTTTACCAGAAACTAATTTTCGTAGAACATAATTTTTACCTACGAGTATCTCCCCCCTCCTAAAAGTTATACCCCTCCAAAACCCTAAAAATGCCATTTTTCAACTATTTACTATAGTGGAACCATATGCATTTTGCAAATTTTGCAAACGCAGAAAAGCAATTGGTTGCATCTTCTATCACGGGATACTATACTTGAACTTTAAAAAAACAAAATGGCCGTTCAAATTTACCGTTATATAAAATCCGGTTTTTTTTTTCAAATTTAATTTTTGATGTTGTTTTTCTTCTGAACTCCGGGTTGTAGGCGTCTGAAATTTTAGTAGCTCTTAGGCACTAGTAAATAGTTCATTTCGTTAGAAGAAACTTTTTTTCCATCTCCACCCCCTCTCAAGTTATCGCCTCTTCAATTTTGTAAAATTTTAACTTTTGACGCCTTATATTTCTGAAACAACAAGTTTTTCTAAATGTTTATATTCGCAAAAAGCTAACGGTAAATTCCATAACATTAAAAAATATAATTATTTTTCTTAACTCAAACAATTAACCCTTAAAATCGAGCATTGTTTTAACCCCTCCTTAAATTAATTTTTGTTTTATTTCAAAGAATGCATAAAACGTTCATCCTAAATATATGCAATCATAGAAATATTTCCGTGTAGGAACGAAAATAATTTTAATAGTGTAGTAGGTATACGTGATTGTTTTTAAAAGCAGTATATTCTTTTGTTGAAGGAGAAGTGCTACAATACAAACCATTGGTTTGGCCCGACTTTATTCAAATATTAAAAAATGTCTTCTTC